ACAATAGAAATAAAATAATTGAGAGAAGAAAAAGAGATATGTTATCTATCAAAACCCAGTTAGATTAACATTCATTGGATTGCACACTTTGTTCGTTTGTTTGGATATGTAGCAAATTGACATATTAAATAGCACTTAATGACTGACTGAATAGAAATGACGATAAATGAAAATGTAAAACGAAAAAAGCGATCATGAAAATGTTTCCAATAAATGAATAAAATGACTTTTGACCAGTTTGTTGTTCAGATATATCACATATTTGTAACTAAATGATACATGAATTGAAACAAAACACAGTATAAACTGAGGAGTGAGTCCCGTGAGTTTCATGTCTTTTCTTCACTCCGCTTGGAAACTGCTCTCATGTCAAGAAGCATCAGATCAGTGCATGCGCTGCATCGTCCGATCAGTGAGCGATACACAGTAAGGGGGCGGGGCGAGTGTCTGAGGATTTCATCGGAGGATGGTCTGGTGGTTCCTCGGTTATCGCTCCTCCATTATCGCTCCTCGATCCTCCGGCAGAAATAAGAGCCATGGGACGGTACTCAAGATGGCGCAGACAAATCAACTTCCGGTGTGACCGAGGACCGAGGAGCGAGGAAATGAAAATAGTCGACCTGAGACGGGGCCCTGGTCATTTCACTCGGTTAGGAAGGTTACTAAGCTAAATGGACTATTCGACTGCAGCCTAGGGGCCCTTCTCACTTCTCTTATTTTTCATTTCCTCCCTCCTCGGTCTCGGTCTCACCAGAAGTTGATTTGTCTGCGCCATCTTGAGTAGCGTCCCAATGGCCTTATTTTTGCGGGAGGACCGAGGAGCGATAATGGAGGAGCTATAACCGAGAAACCACCAGACCATCCTTCGATGAATTATTTTATTTATTTTGTGCACTCTAATCAATATTAATCAAACTATTGTTCGTTTATACATTTTAAGAATGGCGTTTACCTTTTTTGAGAATTAGTTCTTATTTTATTTTATTTATTTGGGTCTACAACAGATGATACAAAGGTTTGTGTCAGTAAATGTGTACTAACAGAGGCGGGGGTGTGTGTGGAAATAACCGGGACAGAGCTGGCTTCTGTCAGACGATCAGCTGTGCAGTGTCATCACAAACGGATGTCGCTTCAGTGACGCTCCGGAGGAAAGGACGTCCCATTGCTCTTAAAACTAATGTCCCTGCTTCTCGTGGTTTCCTTGCGTCTCTCCATGCTTCCCTGGTGGGAGGGACTAGTTACAGGGAAACGACGCAAGCGAGGGAAGCAAGGAGTTCATTTAACCAACCTGAGACGGGGGCCTAGGGCTGAAGTCGAATAGTCCATTTAGCTTAGGAACCTTCCTAACCGAGTGAAGTGACCCGGAAGTCCCTCAGTGGCAGCCATAATAAGTGCCGTTCTAATTCTCTACATGATAGGAAAAGAGGTTTCAAACTTCCTTTATAAGTAACCTCCTTTAGCTTAGGAACCACTGGACCTCCCTAACCGAAAGGAGAGGAGAAAATGCTGCCTCACAATGCCTTGGGTTGCGGTCGGATAGTTTTAAAAATCAGCTCCTAAGTTCTAACCCTATCTCCTATTCCTTGACCTCTGAGTGAAACGTCACGGGGTTAAGGGATAGTGGATAGGAGAATTCAAAAGGACTTAGGAGAAGAGACTGCGGTACTTTATGTGAGGAAAACTTCTGTACATCAATGTTGAGGTGAAATGATGGAGACTGGATCGTCGTTAGCCAAAACACTGAGAGTTTATTAAAGAGTACAAATATTACAGCCGGAGAGATCGCAAAGTTTCACCCTGTCAGGAAGAAACCGAGCCAGCTCTGACACAAAGGAAAAGCACACCGGAAGATACATGAGAAAGGGAGGGGCCTTGGAAACGCGGGCTTTCCTTTAATGAATGCCAGATGTCGGGACAAAAGGCCTGTTTGTCTCATAAATGCAGAGAAAAGGAAACCCTCCCCCACAGGAAGAGCAGATAAGTTTTCGACAAGGAGAAATAGGGGAGGCTTACCACTTAAGCACAATAAAGATTGGATTAAAATATTCTCTCACACTTTAGAGAATCCGAATGCACTTTCACTATCCGACGTGTTTATGATGTGGACGTCATTTTGTGCGTCTGCTGCTGTGGGGGAACTATGGAAACTACAGTTTTCTATACAGCGGACTACAACATGGATGTTTAATAAGAACGACGGACTCATCTAGAGACTCTGCACCGTGCTCTGATGCTGTTGCTTTGCTTTATGAACGTGGACAACAGAGAAACAGATTCTTCATGACCAAAGTTGGAATTGAAATAAAAAAGGAAAGTGAAACTTATGCTCGTCACCCTCTCCCTCCGGTCCACATTAATACAAATGATCCCAATACGTATGATTGTATGAACTATGAAAAGATCTTAAAATCAATACATATGTATTTATTATAAACGTTAGTCCTTAACACCTATCACTGTGTACATCACCATTCAAACATCTTTTAAAAGTTGAACAACCCCACACAGCTCAGTGAAATGTTGACTTTATTTGATAATTTCAGTAAAAACTAACGTTCATATTTCTCTTTTTGATTATAATACTGATGAACGTTTAAAACAAAGCACTTTGGCAACTTACCACATACGTTTTAAAATGCTTAATAAGCACCGTAACTTTCATGATATAATTTCTCCGTCATAATAGTTTGTTTCCATGAACGGCCGACTGTTGTGTGACGCAAATGCTGTGGCTGCAAGGCATTGTGGGGCAGCATTTTCTCCTCTCCTTTCGGTTAGGGAGGTCCAGTGGTTCCTAAGCTAAAGGAGGTTATAAAGGAAGTTTGAAACCTCCTTTCCTATCATTCATTTGCCATCACACAACAGTCGGCCGTTCACAATCACACACACACACACACACACACACACACACACACACACACACACACACACACACACACACACACACACACACACACACACACACACACACACACACACACACACACCACACACACACACACACACACACACACACACACACACACACACACACACACACACACACACACCACACACACACACACACACACACACACACACACACACACACACACACACACACACACACACACACACACACACACACACACACACACACACACACACACACACACACACACACACACACACACACACACAGCTCCTAATCCTAAAGCATAATCAGGCTACAGCCGTTGTGTATTTTATTATGTGAAGCACTAAATGGTCTTAGAAAAATATCGACTCTTTGTTTGTAGATATCTACTAAACTAAAGCAAATAAAGAGAGTAGGCCTGTTATACTGAGTGATATATATTATACACACTGCTCTGCTTTCTGCACGGACCTCACAGTTGTTCTCTCTGGAAACATCGTGACGTGATGAAAGCAGTTTCTAAAATAATATCCAGGGGATGCATGCAGAGCTGTCATTGGCTGAGATAAGTCCGGCCGTGCGTTCCCGGAAATGCATCCGTGGAGGAACCATCAGTGTATCCTCGGTTATAGCTCCTCCAGAGAGCCTCCTCGATGCTCGATCCTCAATGTGCATTTAGAGAAATGAGATGTCCTTCAAAATGGCGTGCTGTAATTCATTTCCGGGTCACTACCGGAGGACCGAGGAGTCGAGGAGGGGAAATTTGAGTATTGAGAAACCTCTTATGACCGAGAAATTATATCATGAAAGTTGCGGTGCTTATTAAGCATTTTAAAACGTATGTGGTAAGTTGCCAGAGTGCTTTGTGTTGAACGTTCATCAGTATTATAATCAAAGAGAGAAATATGAACGTTAGTTTTTACTGAAATTATCAAATAAAGTCAACATTTCACTGAGCTGTGTGGGGTTTGTTCAACTTTTAAAAGATGTTTGAATGGTGATGTACACAGTGGTAGATGTTACGGACTAACGTTTATAATAAATACATTTGTATTGATTATAAGATATTTTCATAGTTCATACAATCATACGTATTGGGATCATTTGTATTAATGTGTACCGGAGGGAGAGGGTGATGAGCATAAGTTTCACTTTCATTATTTATTTCAATTCCAACTTTGGTCATGAGGAATATGTTTCTCTGTTGTCCACGTTCATAAAGCATAAAACAACAGCATTAGAGCATGCTGCAGGGTCTCTAGATGAGTCCGTCGTTCTTATTAAACATCCATGTTGTAGTCCGCTGTATAGAAAACTGTAGTTTCCCCACAGCAGCAGACGCACATTGATGACGTCCGCTGGCGCATCATAAACACGTTGAATAGTGAAAGTGCAGTCGGCTTCTCTAAAGTACCGCAGTCTCTTCTCCTAAGTCCTTTTGAATTCTCCTATCCACTATCCCTTAACCCCGTGACGTTTCAATCAGAGGTCAAGGAATAGACGATAGGGTTAGAATTTAGGAGCTGATTTTTGGATTAACCGACCGCAGCCTAGAGCCATTTCTCAAAGTCGAGGACGCTTCCGTGGTAGGACATGTCATTCTGAGTGAGGTCCTTCAGAGGCTAGGCAAGAATCCTTCCTCGCATTCAGAGAACGAAGAATGGAACAGGCTAGCAAGTGTGCGTCATATGCAAGGCCCCGCCTTATTGAGTGTGACTTGTTTGAAGACTCATCACTGAGTTGCAAAGATGGACACGTTTTTGTTGTTGTCTTTTATCCATCAATTTTTTTCAGATGAAGGAAGAGATAGAGCGGGAGTATCGTCAGCGTCTGTCTGCTCAGAGGAGGATTTTCTAGTTGAATAAGTCTAGTTGAAAAAAGTTTGCAGGATTCTTCAGAGCCTCTATTTCGAGTACTCAGGTCTTGTACTTTAGTAAAAGTAGAAGTACTCATATATATATTTTACTTGAAAAGTAGAAGTATATATAAATAAAAAACACCGTTGTTTTCTCCTGGGAAAATGTATTTAAACAGTTCCCTCCTGTCTTTATTAATTATAACAAGGGAATGACATGTTTATAATGTGCTGAAAAACACAAAAATATTCAGGGGTGTGCATCTTTTTTTAAGGCCTTTTTTATTTTGGTACAGTCTGATAATTTAAACAAAAGAGAACAGAATCAAACTGAAAACATCATAAATATTTTCTAGATACATTTATCATAGGTTCTTCTTTTAGAGTAGAACATCCCAATCGAAGTTTAAAGTCACAACATTTTATTAACCAAACAGATTATACGAGAAACTACACTGCAGATTAATGAACAGTGAAAGTAAATTCCTTCAATGCAGCTTAACGAGGCTAGCAATTAAACCCTGGACATATAATATTTTATAAAAGGACAAACAAGGCTATTAGAAAGTTAGTTGAAGAACAGCATAGTGAAACAATTCTTTATAGATCAGGAACCGTTACAAACATGAATTAAATCGGGAGAAACAACATCTCCGTGGCCTTGTGTTGGCATAGTGTGAACGCTGGTCAGAACATAGAAAACTGTTAGTCAGACTTAAATTCAGAAAGACTCTTCAAATATAACAATACAGCTCTCAGGACATCAGGAGGAGGAAAAAGCTAGCTTTGCTCTCATAGTTGTTCAAAACTATGCAGTGTGGATTCGCTCATGGACATTAAGGTTAGCACTTTGAGAAAACGTTTTCCCACACTCTTCACAGCTGTACGGTTTTTCTCCAGTGTGAATACGTTGATGCATTTTGAGAGCATATGATGTAGTGAACGCTTTCCCACACTCTTCACAGCTGTACGGTTTTTCTCCAGTGTGAATACGTTGATGCATTTTGAGAGCATTTGATGTCCTGAACGTTTTCCCACACTCTTCACACCAGTATGGTTTTTCTCCTGTGTGAATACGGTGATGAGTTTGGAGATGACTTAATTGAGTGAACGTTTTCTCACACTCTTCACAGCTGTACGGTTTTTCTCCCTTGTGAATACGTTGATGCAATTTGAGTTCATTTGATGTCTTGAATGTTTTCCCACACTCTTCACAGCTGTACGGTTTTTCTCCAGTGTGAATACGTTGATGCATTTTGAGAGCATATGATGTAGTGAATGCTTTCCCACACTCTTCACAGCTGTCCTTTTTTTCTCCAGTATGAATAATTTGATGTGTTTTGAGATGACTTGATCTAGTGAACGTGTGCCCACACTCTTCACAGCTGTACGGTTTTTCTCCAGTGTGAATACGTTGATGTGCTTTGAGATTACCTGATGTATTGAACGTTTTCCCACACTCTTCACAGCTGTACAGTTTTTCTCCTGTATGAATACGCAGGTGGAGTTTTAAAGTTCCAGATGTTGTAAAGGATTTGTCACATTGCTGACAGCTGTGACATCTCTCTCTTCCTTTCGCCTTCTAAAACAGACGGACAGAGAAAGACAGAAAGTAAATCTAAAAAGCATGAATACATATACAGTTAACACAATAAAAACTCACTTAATACTTATACAGTTAACAAAATACTACTAACAGTTTGTGTTTATTATATTTGTATTATATTTGATAGAGTAATACAGCAACATCCTAACCACAGTTTAAACCAGAGGGGGGACTCGAGTCACATGACTTGACTCAAGTCGCATATTTTTGGACTTGAGACTTGCTTGACTAACATTGATAAAAGACTTGACTTTGACTTGTTATTCATGACTTGAGATTTGACTTGAGACAGATGACTCGAAAGTACTTTACTTTTTAAAATAAAATATTTGCATTTGTTTTTGTATTGTACGAAGCCCCTAAAGGGCAATGAAAAAATTCAAAAAGAGAGAGAAAAAGTATCTTGCTCGCACAAGAAAGTTACCGGTGCGCCAAGGAGAAAGTGGAGCGCACAGGAGACAGCCGTTTCATTGCAGACTGTTATGTTTATGTGGGGAAATGGCAGTGCATACATTATTTGAGATATATTTCGAACTCGGACTTCATCTTAGGGACAGTTCGGCCAGTTATTTGTCTAAGCACCGGATCGGCAAAACAGGAGTGTATGTAAACCAGTCTGCCTTGATCTATGAATTCATGTCCGTGACTCTCGCAATATGTGGGGAACCTCCGGCAATTGGACAATTTGGTACGGCCCTCGAGGTAATTTATAAACACACGCAAAAAAGAAAAAAATGTAAGAAATCTAGACCGCAAAAAAATTAAACAAGCGAGTGCCTGTTTTTCCTGGCCACGGTCAGGGTCCTTGAACACAACATGGGCCTAACGTGTCATCACGTGGTATATGTCTCGACTGACAGGGGTGTAGTTCTGACGGAGAGCACCAGAACGCCGCTCCAGCACTTCAGAAACTGCACTACCCATAAGGAGCCGTACACATGCCGCAGTTTTTGCGTGGCTGTGTCTTTAGTTGAAAGCCCAGTGGCGATCTGTTCATCTGTCATAGTGATCATTACAGTCAATAACTTTGTTGTTATTAGCATCTGGTTAGCTAGCTATGCTAACGAATATAAGAAGCTTTTTCTACAACCAGTGAGGTAAAGGCACATCTTTATATGATCATTATAGTTGACAAGAGAACAAGAGAATAAAGTAAACAGGTATAAATGAGTGATTTGTCAAATATTCATAAAGAAAAAGAAATCTGCTTCCAGTTCTGTTTCATCTGGGTGTTGAGAGATGTATCCATAGATCTCCTAATGTTGCTCTCAAAGTGCACCAGATTGATGCTTTTAACTTCAACATTTAAAAAAAAATCTTCCCGGGGGTGCTGAGGTTAGGTCAGATTGCTATCCCTTTAAGAGAGAGCGAGGGGTGTGACATGTGTGTGCATGGTAGAGCGAGCGAGAGTGAGCATTTTGAAGCCAACGAAACAGCCGCAATATAGGTATGTGTCTACAAAGTTAGATCTGTAACAAAGACCTTATTAAATGCAACGGCCTCCCAAAGAAGAGCTCGCCTGTCTGCCTTTTGAAGAGTGGGTTTTTTTAACCCGAAGTTTGTTGTTTCGGCCCTCGAAGACTGCAGAGAGTCATCCCGTGTTCCTCGACGACGGTCTGGGAGCCGGCAGGAAGGTTTAACACAAGAATCCGTATTAACTAAAATAGCATTTTAATAGCATCATCTCCAAAAACAAACACAGTCTCTTAGAGGAGCGGACAGGCTGCAGGAAGTGGAAGCAGAGCGCTGAACACACATAGGAAATACGAATCTTATTAAAACAATGTCAGTCTTGAAGTACCGATACTAATGAAATGGAGAAATCGTAATGTTTTTAACGGCAGGGTATCGCAACACATTTCTAGTATCGGTGCACCGTGCAACACAAACACACCTTCTACTTCTACTCTAGTACAAGGCAAGGCAAGTTTATTTATATAGCACCTTTACAAAAATGAAAGATATTCAGACAAAGGCATTTAAAGAAAAAGATAATAAAAGAAACATTAAAAGAAAAATACATGAATAAAAAGTACATGAATAAAAATTACATGAATACCAAGTTACAGTGCAGTTTAAGATATGAATAGTTCACACAGAAGTTCCACTTTACTGATGAACACAACGGCTCAGTTTCAATTAAAAGCAGCGACAAAAAGAAAAGTCTTCAGCCTGGATTTCAAAGTAGTAAGAGTTGCAGCGGACCTGCAGGTTTCTGGGAGTTTGTTCCAGATATTTGGAGCATAATAACTGAACGCTGCTTCTCCATGTTTAGTTCTGACTCTGGGGACAGAAAGCTGACCAGTCCCTGAAGACCTGAGAGATCGGGATGGTTAATAATTTAGCAGTAGATCAGAAATGTGTTTTGGGCCTAAACCATTCAGTGCTTTATAAACCAGCAGCATTATTTTTGAAATCTATTATTTGACAGACAGGAAGCCAGTGTAAAGACTTCAGAACAGGAGTGATGTGATCCACTTTCTTAGTGTTAGTGAGGACTCGAGCAGCGGCGTTCTGAATCAGCTGCAGCTTTCTAATAGATTTTTTAGTGAGACCTGTGAAGACACCATTGCAGTAGTCGAGTCTACCGAAGATAAAAGCATGGACAAGTTTTTCCAAATCCTGCTGTGAAATTAGTCTTTTAATCCTAGATATGTTCTTTAGGTGATAGTAGGCTGATTTAGTAACTGTTTTAATGTGACTGTTGAAACTCAGGTCAGAGTCCATGACTACACCTAGATTTCTGGCTTTATCGGTTGTTTTGAACATTGCAGACTGAAGCTCAGCGCTAACTTTTATACGTTCTGCCTTGGCTCCAAAAACCATTACCTCAGTTTTGTCTTTGTTTAATTGGAGAAATTCTGACACATCCAGTCATTGATTTGTTCAATGCACTTACTCAGTGTTTTAACTGGAGAATAGTCTCCTGGTGAAATGGTTATTTCAATTTGTGTGTCATCCGCATAGCTATGGTAACTTATTTTGTTGTTTTTCATTATCTGAGCCAGTGGTAGCATGTAGACGTTAAAGAGAAGAGGCCCCAAGATGGAGTACCCCACATGTCATATATATATATAATGATTGAGGAACCCCACATGTCATATAAAATAACTCAGATTTGTATTTACCTATAGAAACAAAGTTGTTTCTGTCTTTTAAGTAGGATTCAAACCAATTTAGAACTGTTGATGAAAGTCCCAGTCGGTCTAGTAATATGCAGTGTGCGAAAAAGTACACGTCCCACCGTCCGGGACGTGTTATTTACAATATCGGACAAGTAGATCTTTCAATTGACTTGTCCGGCGGACAAGTGACGTTTTTCGGCCTGATTTATTGACAAATTATTGATACATTCGGTTTACAAAAGGCAGAACTCAATCGCAAATTGTACGTGTCCGCCATTGTTCGTTTAGATTCTGCTTGTCGATTCCTAAGGAAATGCATCTCGCCGCTTTCTGTACAGTTAGACGGGGCGGGGCGGGTGGGAAGTGTAGCACAGTGGCAAGGTTGGGAAGCAAAACACGGTTCCGATTAGGAACAAATATCAATTGTCCGGTACCGGGATTAATAAGAGTTGTGAGGACAGGAGGCGAGGCCGAGCCCCGCGGACTGCAGCTCTATCTATGCTCCGTATCAGCTGATCGCTGCACGGTGCAGCTCAGCGTCTCTCTCTCTTTCTACACACAGCGGATCCGCTGCCCGTTTAACAGCCTCATCTTTGTCAAACTTTCTTATGTTCTTTCTCTAACACATAATGAAGGTTATTAAGCGTTTTAACTCCTATGTTGTTAATATTGACCACCATTTCCTTTTATGAAGTAAAGCAACCTCCCTGTCTGTGTCCTCGCGCTGTCCTCACATCCCCGGACCCCCAGACTCAGAGGAGCACAGGGATGTCAGCAGAGACGTGCACACATAGACTCTAGGTAGTGCTTGAGCACCTGCCCGTTTTGCCCTCTGGACAGCAATGTGCCCTTTTGAAAGTTCGTTTTTTACAGTTTTTTTTTTTTTTTTACAGTGTACTGTATGTGGCTCATGGTAACATCGATCAATTCTGGATTAAAAGCTTCTAATATATACAACAATGCCCCAAATGCGCGTTGTAATTTTGTCAGACATCCCCACGCGTGCCCCGCGGCACTCCCGTACTCCTGGCTGCAGCCCCTCCCTTCCCTGCTCTCAACGTGAGCGCGCAGCGCGCAGAGCTGACAGTCAGTCTAGTGATGGGAATTCCGGCTCTTCTTGGTGAGCCGGATCATTTGGCTCGTTCGGCTCCCAAACGGCTCTTCAGTTTACCATTTATTATACCTTTTAATTAAATCAAATGTAGCCCTGTTTTGACTAATGATTTATATTTGTACACATATATCACTTAAATTATTCAATACATCCTTTGTACTGAAGTATTCAAAAGTAAAAATTACATGTTTAATATAAATGATTTGCTGTGGCCAATTGTTTTCATTGCATTTACAGACCCGTGCAACTCTCTGATACCACCCAATGAATGCATTGACTTGCTTGTAGAACCACGCTACACAAAACAGATAGCAACACCTATAAAAACTATTTAAAAAAAGGGGCTACTGTATCGACCTATATAAACTATATAAATATAGGTTTTTTTTCAAAATACCAAAAAGATCCTGTATTTTAGCCATGCCTCATTTCGCTCTATTTGCTCTTTCCAGCCCTGTTTTTGCAGGGGGCTGATTCTGTGAGCTGCAGCTGACCACGCCCCCCTGCAGGAGAGGGGAGCGTGCTCTGAGATCAGCTGCTGGGCGGTCTGTAGAGGGGGCGAAAAAGAGATCTCCGTCCTCCGTGTTTTATTCTTATAGAAGTAAGAAGAGAAGTAATGGGGCAGAAACCCTCCTTTTTACGCAGCGGTCCAGACATAGACATCAAACGGCGACACATATTCAGTTGCCAGTTACTTTGGCATTAGGGCAGGGATATCTAGATACTTTCCAAGGTTT